TATTTAAAAATTTTTAGTGATTTTTCTGAGTTTATTCTATGAGACTAGCTAACAATGATTCAATTTAAGAAACGTTTTTAAAAAATGCACTTTAAATTTCGATGTAGAAGGTTAGTTTATAATAACTTTTTACCATTTTCCCTTATCACGATAAAATTAAATTTGAATTAATTAACTACAAACGTGATTAATTTTTGAAAAAAAAAATGAGATATTATCAAGATTATTATAAGATCTTATAGCCACTAACTTTGCCGAACAGAACGATGTTAGGGAAAAAATTGTTGACGTAGCTGCACGTTATCTCACAGGTAGCCTCGTAAAAAGCACACACAGGCAGAGAACTGACATGGTGGCCGAAAGGATCGGATGAGGGAGAGCAACGGGAGCAAACGTGAATTCGGTTATCGGTTACCCATAAATCGAAACTGAACGAGCCGATCGTAGTAGATGGATCATCATAATCCGAACGGATGATGCGTACAGGCGCCGTCGATTGAGGCTGCTCGCAGATTAACGAGAGTCGTGATTTTGTTGAAAAAAAAAAAACGATAGCAAAACAAATAGATGCGTTTTATGTACTAAATACATTTAATTGTGCAATTGCACAGTTTATAATCGATGTTGTCATGCGTATATTATAACACTTGAAACAGTAATTATAAACTACGATAATCGCAATAATTATGCTTCAATCAGAGATAGTCATTAGTTTATATAAATAATTTTGCATTTACAGTTATAATTATTGTTCAAATACGGCAGGATTAAATTTCGATATCGTAACTATTGCGATGAATCTGATGGCAAATAATAAACGCGATTTATATCGCCTTCTGCTACCAACATTTTTCCATTCCGCGACCTCCGAATCTCTCTGCGCTTTTGAATAATTAAAATACACATGTCCGAATTATACACCGGCGAATGATAAAAGAGCGGAATTCTAAATATCGCCAATGCCAAGCTTGATTATCGCAAATAGCGGGATACAGAAAATTTCTCCTTAATATGCGACAACGTGTTATACGCCTGCACGAATGAATACGCGTGCATTATTCATCTAGAAATATTCCGCGGGAATAATCGGACAGTGCGTGGTGCGAAAATCATAATGAATTATGCTTACACTGCCTTGATATGAATTTGACGTGGGCGTGAGCCCGCGTAAGAAGAAAAGACGAGTCGACGTTTATTCTCGAAATATTCGCCCGGATATTTTGCGTTGCACCGCCGACGGGAATGGCGAGCGCGACGGCGCGGCGTCGGAGAACAAATGATTTAATGAGAGAAGGGCTGGAAACCCGACAGTAGCAGCCAACCGGGAAATGAGAGAGGGAAAAAGGGACACTGGGATAACAGGAGGTGCGAGTGAGACGGAAAAAATACGGCCTGCGAACACCGGGTATGAACCCTCTGATGCAGCGAAATACCAATGAAACTCGAGCGAGATGGAAAGGGGATAGAGATCTGCGTGTGGAACTTTTCGGGACAATTCCCGCACGCGCGCGCTTTCTCTCTCTCCTCTCCCCCCTCCCCCTCCCCTTCCATCGCCAATTTTGCCTCGGATAACATCACACGCGATTAATGCAGAGCTTATTCAATAGCGCTTATTCTTAGTTACATCCTCGCGTCGCAAATATTTGATTTTCCTTTTCGTCCTGCGAGATCGTCTGCACCATTATCCGCTTCGCTGAGTAACCGATCGAGTTGGAGATATTCCAAATACGGAGCTTTCAGAAATGTTTGGATTGCGGCAATGACGCCTGTATCTCTTGCTCCTCGCAGGGATGATAATTTAGCCGGGCTGAGTCGCGACTACGTTCAGAGAGATTGTACGAATCCCGTGGATCCAACTTTACCGCGCTTTAAATGAACGCGCTCGGTACGTGATGAAAATTTGAGATTCGTTACTGCGACGAGGGCCGCGAGGAAGTTTCAACGTGTCAAGATTAGACGCGCAACTTTTAGCTATTCTGTAGCGACTGTTTCGCGCGATAAAAGTTTCTCGCTGCACTTTATAAAACGGAAACGTAGGAACAGTAAACAGACGTAACTACCGCCGCGTCTTTTTTAGTTACGTTTTATGTGTGTAACTCTATGTCGCGCGGGGCTCTATGCGGCTTCCACCTACCGAAAATGTCCCGGGCGACGACAGTACGCTTTTTATGGTCTTTGGTGTCAAACAAATTTCCGTCGACCGAGGTCTCGTTGGAGATGACATTTGATGCTCCGGGCAAAAATCTGCGAACGCTCCAACGAATCGCGCAACTCCGCAGGATTCCCTCTTGGGAATCGCGACGGGTGGCATTGTAAAACTTTTACGACACGCATTATGACACGGAGCGTAGTCGGTCGCGTTTGGCGGAATGTGAAAAAAGGAAAAAAACGCTGTACGTTCACGTATATCGGCGCGGGAGTACCGCGCTGAGATCTCGTCGCGCGTAAAGCGAGCGTTATGATTTTCGCGCCTCCCTTCGCTCCACGTTTATTGAAAGAATTTACAACGACAAAAACTTAATAAAGGCCGCGGCGCTCTTCGTGGCTGGCGAGCACTGGAATGAATCATGTCGCTTGGCGAAAATCCTCGGCGCTAGATTACAACAGGTGCATGTTGTAAAAATTACAACGCTATTCGTTACAGCGGGCGAGAGACAAAGAGAGAGAGAGAAAGACAGAGAAAAAAGAACTAAAGAGGACACCAGCGGATCGTATTCATGGGCAAGTAGAAATGGTATACCATTACACTGGCAGAGAACGTGTATGCGACGCGTGGATATCCTCACGCACACACTCTCTCTCTCTCTCTCTATCTACACAGAGAAAATGCTTTCGGCTATTGTACCTACATCCACGTATACTTGAGTCCGCAGCTTAGTTTAGCTACGGTTTATGCCATGATGTAAACGCTCGATGTGTATATATATTACGTCTACACGTTTCTACGGGGCAATCCACCTAATATCCTCGTTTTAATGTTAAATGCATATAATTTACGAGGAACGTGGGTAATTATTAAAATGAGTCATATACTGTTACTAAATTACTAGTGAGTAATATGATGTAATATGCTTTATTTATGATAATATAGATCGTTCATGTATTTAGCAAGAAAAACATGCAAAATATACATGAGAGATTTCGACCTTTTTATTTCAAATATAAATATTGATATTAAAATACTGATATCGCAATTTTTATTTATTATTTTGTTTATTTATATTTTGTTTAAGTAAATAAGATGAGATATTTAGCAACATGATGAAGGTAAAGGTGCCTTTTGCCTCGCTATAATTACTCACAAACTGAAGAAGGCAGTAAAATAATTGCTCGACCGAAGTTAGTTTTCAAGTCGAAAATACTTCAACTCGGCGGTGGTGCAAATGAATATGCAAAATTATCACGCAGTCCGCCGACGCTCTGTTTTACAAAGGTGGAGCTTGTTTCAATTGCCGATAGTTTGTGCCGCGGGCTGTACGCGCGCGATGAAGAGACCCGTAATAGGAGCGTGCTACCGATGAAATTAAAATGTAATTCCGCACTCCGCATTGCACCCTCGTAATCTCCGCGAGCATCCCCGGGTGTCGCGACGGCGGATACGTACATCACGCGCTGGGTTTCTCTGTGGGCCCAGGGGTCGCGCAGGAGGGACAAGCGGTTGTGGGACGGCTTGCGGATTCGTGAGTGGTTGCGAGGGTAGGCGCTGCGACGCGATGCGCCACACCGCACGCTAGTTCGAAGGGGAGGACTACCGGGTTACGAGCTTAGCGCGTCGGTCCGGGTTATTTGCATATTTTAATCTAACGGTAAAAAGTCGTGCGACGCTAGTTTTCCCCATTAGTCTGGGGATACGACTTTAAACATAACCGCGTATAATATTGTACACGGTGCGTATCGCGCGTGATGAATGTAAACGAGCGAATGTAATACGCGGTTTTACGCTTTAAAAGGGAGCACCGATGTCGCTGGATTACGTCATGGTTATTCAATTTGTTAACTATTTCAATACTGGGACAAAGTATCTCATAAAGCATCTCGCTACAAATATTGAATACACATTTATATTCAATTCGAGAAATGCGGACAAAGGCATTATTGATTGTGAAGAGAAGAAAATGTTATTTTATTTTTCAGTTATATCTGTCGTGTTTTTTATTATAAAATAAAATATATTATTTGTTAGATACTTTTTGTCATAAAATAAAAATTTAGTATTTGAAAAGATAATACATTAGATTTTCTGCTCGTGATACATTTAACGAAGTGAAATGTTGTTACGAGTGAATGGCGCGAGATTCATGAAGCAATTGTACGAAATATAGACCGTTTTCATCTGCCAGTGTATTTCGGTGATTGCTTTACACGTTTCGTTAAAATTCGATATCTGTAATTTTTAGCAATACTATCAAACATCACCGATTTTATTAGAAACTGAACAACAATAACGCTCCCTTTGCACGAGAGAGCACACAATTTTTATCATAACTCGATTCGTGCGAAATGGCGAATCGCGCGACTCAGTATTGGATTTTTAGGTAACTTTTCCAGGTCGTTTCAATTTTCATCCAAATCGACCGATTACACCCATAGCCACGCATACGAAAGTAATTACATTTTTGGGACGCCATCTGGAAAGGCTGATCGCGAAGGGCGCGGAAACTGGCGTTGGATTTTGAGAGAAATGAAATTGCAATTGGGAACACCACGTTCCCAGAGTGTCACACTTTTTCACGATTTTGCTGATTAAACGCTAATAAATCGTTGTGCTTGGAAATTGTATAAATGATTGAATGGTTTCCAGTAAAAATTATATAGGGCGTTGATAACAAACGTAATTTGAGAAACAACTTAAAATTTCTCATTGAAAGTTTTTTCTTCCTATTATTTTTATTCTTGAAAAAGATATGTAAAGTCGAATTAAACGAGTTATTGTTGCCTCTGCACTCGTTAGATAGAAAAGTAGAACAGTGTTTAATTGAATCATTTTATGTTGTTACAAGGATAAAAATCTGAGCAAGCCGCTACCATGGATGCAGAGAGGAAAAAAGGGCTCTTGCTTCGAGATGAGGGATGAAAACATAATGCGGTGATGCTGTATGGTAAGTGATGATTTTAATCATATCCTAAAAAAGTAACATAAAAAGTAGACATGATTTAATAAAGTAAACCCAACATTATCGTTAACTCACACAAACACAATATATTATGTATCTTGCAAGAATTGGTTGTACTAGGATTAACAGATCATAATATTTTCTCCTTTCATTTACGTGCATCAATTTCCAAATGAACATTTATTAGTCGCATAACAGAAAGTGAACTGTTTATTTGATACTGTTAATGTGTTCAAACTTGCAGTATATTGTTTAAAAGAAAATACTAATGAATTATGATACGCAATATAAAAGCAAACAAATCTATGCATTCATAACGAGTGCTTATATTTATTGCTATCAATATTTATGTATTCGTTTAATATTGTGTCAAATTATTAACGAATGCGTAGCTATTAATCGAATCGTGAAAGCTTTATATTATATAAAATATATGAGAAATATTATGTAGGTAAATATACACGTGTGCACATTCCAATTATAAATATTTCACAAATAAAAGTATAATTTTTATATTTATCTGTTTGGAATTACAAATAATTTCTTTACATTTTTTATATTAAAGCTTTGAACTATTTTACTGAAAAATATGCCTAGAATATATAGGTAAAATTGTGATTGTGAATGTTTAATTAATTTGGATAATAAATTTATCGAAAACGACATAAACTTTTAATCTTGATATAAATTGCGAATATACAACTATTTGTAAGAGGATGTTGATAAGATAATTTGCTCGATCTTGGATTAGCAACATCCTGCTAGGAAAGCCATGGAATCTAAATCTATTTTCCGGTATGGTCAATAAATTTCCGGCTATCGACCGCCATTAATTGCTGGAATATATCATCACATCGAAACTGCGCCGGTGTAGCAGCGGTGAGGTATAATTTACGGAAACAACGTGAGTCATCCATCATAAGTGCCACTCGCGCGACAATTGTTCTTTCATGTCTCAGATCGGAAAATCTTTAAATTTATTCACTTCTTTTTTAATTTCACTTTTGAAATTTTATAGGTGTTTCTACACAGTAGATCTCGTTCATAATGTTCTGAAAATCAATAATAAAGGAAATAATTTAATAATTTTAATGCAATACAGGCGTAATACGTTTGCAAAATATGGGAAATAAATCCGAGTTATTTCTTCTCAATCAAATTAGCTGATCAAATAATCTTTCATTTATATTAATTTGAAAATTTTTTCAATATGCTTTTTTGAAAATTTTATAAAGATTCTTTGAGCTCATGATAAATACACAAAATTGCACAAATATCGAAGAAAATGGTATAAACGCATCCGCAAAGTCGCCATTCATACTTTTTAACAATATGACATGCCGCGGTACGAATGTGCGGTTAATACTATGTGCGATTAAAATTATAATTTAATCTGAAGGAATCACATAGGCGACCTATTTATGAGCGTGTATGCGGTGAGATCGTAACCATAAAATTCCGACCGCTGACAGAAATTACAAAACGATGCAATGCCTTCGGTATAGTTTCCGCGCTTCTACCTCCACCGCGCGCTTAAATAATTCATACTCTCTCGTGTTCCTAGCATAATATTTTCCGACCTTTCTGCGCCGCAATGTGCACGCTTGTACGGGACGACGATAGAACGGAATGTGCCCGGAGCATACATAAAAATGAAGGAGAAAAATTTTGTCACTGACTAGCGTCCAAAAAAAAAGTATCACTGTTTATATGTTGTTTCCATTTATACATCCGGATTATTTACGGCATTTAAGCTCGTTATGATTATCCGCAGAATCATATTTGTGAAAGCTAATTATCATAAATCACGAATTTATTAATGCGTTATTAAGTACCGCGGGTAAATATTTATTAGCGTGTTTGTTAAATGATTTGGAGGGTCGCAGTTTATTAATCCGTAATTTTCTCCCATATAGAAACTATGTCCAGTTTTTATGCTTCTCGGGGTTTCGAAAGCAGAGACTTTCTAATAATGAGAGCAGCGCACCACACTCGAATCTGCCGAGCTTGTCGCTTATACGCTACTACTTAAATGCAAATTCTTTATGAAAATCTGACATACCGCGAACGCCGGTAAAAAGCAACGATATTGCCAAGTCGCCCGTATACACAGAAACGCGGAGCGCGCGCCGCTTTGCCGTTAAAAGTGTAGGGAAGAAGGAGCGTTTCCTTCCTCCGTGTAAGTGAGATTCCCGGGTACGCTCGGCATACAAGCGCGTATTAATTAAGTTGGCTTCTAATTAATGCAGAACCCACTTCGACCGCGAAGGATCACTTAGGATGGAACTTCCCTTTAAGCTGTAATTACATTTACGGTACACGTGTCGGTGTATATCCGTCGGCACCTCGTGCCGCACAATATGAAGCTGCTACCCTCCCGCACCGCTCGCACTTATCGCTCGCACCCTCACCGTCGCGCGCTCTCCTCCTCTGTATATATATGTAGATGGGTGGATATTTGTTCCGCAACCGAGCTCAGTTTTGGCTGGAAGGGTGCGCGCGTAAGAATATTCATCGTGTGTCCTGAAAATGGCATCCAGGCATTTTCCAGGCGCGATGCGAGTTGACGGCATCGTACGGCCGTCATCGCCGAGAAGATTCCCGTGCGAGCGCGCGTGCTCATCGGCGCGTTAAATAGATCATGCGAAAAGCATTCCGAATCAGTGGTGTGATAACGTCAGCCCCGTCGTACATGTACGAACGACCACGTCACTCACCATTTCTCCCTTTTAATGTCGCCGCTGGCATACTGTCGTTGGCAAAAGCGCGCATAGCACTGGCGCCAGTATTTTCTGCCTTGATTTGCATTTTACGATTTATTTATGACTCGTAATTCGATGTTAATTCTCTGTTACTCGGGCAAATTGGCTTTGCGATATACTTTTTTATTTTCATCATTAAGATGAATACTTAGATCATTAAGATGGATACTTAAGATCAATACTTACTAACAGAACTAGCAACAATAATCGTAATTATGTTGAGACATTTAATACAGTCCGCGATCAAATTAACTATGTATCTGCGGAATGAAGATTGCAATGTCTCACGTGTGCGAAAGAAATTAACAAAACTGGGTTACGAACAATATAAATGTGTAGATTTAATTAGGCGATTTAACTAGAGGAATAAAGTTGCTGCTCCACTGATATTTATTTCGATACCAAATATGCAGACTAATGTTCGGAAATTCGAAACTTTTATGTAGAAAATTTGCATACGACTGACTAAAAAAATATTAAGTTATGTTTGCATAATAACATTGGTTACAATTTTACTGATAATTTAGCTGAAAAATAAATTGCATTATATAATGTAAATATTCTAGTGATCGAACATTTAAGAGTTAATTATTGAAGATATAATTTTTTCTATTTTTTCACATTATTTTTTTTATCTTTTTACATACATAATAAAAAACAAAATTTACTTAACGGAAATCAAAGTAAAATTATGATTATTAATTCAGAAGCTATTAAATTAATTCTGGGTTTTATATTTATAAAGAGTAAGTAATAATGTGTTTACCTTATATCCAAATAAAAATTCTAATACAAATAGAAATATGCAATCTTTTATTTTTAATCATAATTTTATAATATTAAAAAAAACATTTTTGGTGAAAATATTTTATATAGATATAATGAAATTAATATACCTATAGATGTTCACAATGATATGTAGATATATATGATGTATGTAAGTTCACGCTTCGCCATTATATTTAACATGTGACTACTACGTCTGCCGAGTCAATATCGACTGTGCCTTTTCTCGCCTTTTCCCAAGCCTCTTCTAGGACAAAAACGCGTGTTTGTTAGTGACCACAGACGCGCGGTGTTCGTATCGTGCATGAAGGGATCTCGCAAAGGGCGTCATAATTGCCAGGGATAAAAGTCCTGCTCTTTTTTTTGCGCTTTTTTCAACGATTCACTCACGCGATGAAACGCAATCTCTCGCGGTGCGTACGCACTAGGCAAGGCAAAAAGGACATAACGGAAAGGGTGAGAGAGAGAGAGACGGGGGGAAAGTGTGTATGTATGTGTGTGAGACAAAGAGGAAGAAACCATCGTTATTTACAGCTTCGCTCGCATATCCACCGCGAGTAAATACCGTTCCTCTCCATACCTCGTATTTGCGCCGCCCATGCTCGTTCCGACGTAAAAACTCTATTTCCCTTTGCAACGTCGCTATCGGCTCTCACCACTAGTTTCAAACTGGATTTTCGCGCCTCTGTCGCATCCTTCTCTCTTCTATTTCTTTCTCTTTCTCTCAGATTCTTCTTTCATTCGAGCACGATCGACTTTTCTCTATAAAGTACTTTGGGAGCTCATTTCCGTTGATCTTGTTGCCGTGCAAAATTGCTACCTGATTCTGCATACGTACGTGACTACCATAGTGAATGACAATCCCGCATAAACGCAGTTATCATAGTCGTTTAGTTAATGTTTCGCGACAAGTTGCACAGAAACTGCGATTTGCTTGTAAAAATGTCAACTTAAAAAAGTCTCATTTTGCCTCGCATTCACCTCACAAACCAGCCAGGAAGAATTGTGTTAAATTTAAATGAGATAAACGCATTAATGATTTCTCTGACCGCTCTTAGCTTTCCGACTGCAGCACATTTCCTCAAACTTCATTTTGTTCGAGCGTCATACGCTTCCCTTGTAAAGCTCTTTCCAAGCTCATTTCCGTTGATCTTGTTGCGTCGAATACGTGCCCGTGCATACGTAATCTGACGATAATCCATCGAAGAGAAAGCTATTTGCATAATCGCGCAGTGAAAACATTATGACGTCAGAAAAATGCAGAAAATTTGCAAAGGTACGATAAACCGCCCTTTGTAAGAAAGGCAACATTTTATCTTTACGAGAATTAAGAGGCCTGCGTTACTCAAAAGTAATGCTCGCGGGAAAAACTATTCGACATTGATTTCACGTTTTACACGTTTCTTTTGTGACCTAGTTTTGCAGGCTAGCGCACGT